ATGAGTATGTATTTTTCTTAAAAGTTCAAAAGAACTCAGAAGAGAAAATGGGGCAATGAGGAAATGGGAAAATAGATAGAGTTCTAAAATGTAGAGGTAGTGGAGCTAGTATTAAGAATGGTGTATCTAAAAAAAGAAGACTGGTGTATCTGGAGCCACACTAAGTTAGAATCCAAGTCATGCTACTCAGATTCATTTCACTTATTCATTCAACAAATATTAACTGATCACATGTTATGTGCCAGGAAATGTTTGAAGTGTTTGGTGCCTCAGCTTCCCCACTGGCTAAGTGGCAATACTGATATTACCTACCTAATGGGGTTATTAAATTTGTTAATATGAGAGCAGTAACAGAGCATCTAGTTAGTGTTCAATAAATATGGACTATTAATATTAACAATACTTTTGTAAAAATAATGTCATAGAAAACAGATTTACTTATATTATTAAGTAAAAAAAATCAAATTGTAATATGGTTTTATTTTGGAGAAGATACATATACATTAAATAAGACTGAAATGAAATATAAGATACTAACAGTAGGTTATCTTTGAATAATGAGATTATGATGACATTAGTATACTTCTTTTTGCCTCTTGATAGTATCTAAATTTTCCCAGTGAACATGTTTTCTCCTTTCAGTAGGACTAATAAGGTTGTACCTGAGTTATGTGTACAGTTCCACAGGAAATATTGCTCTACAGGGTTTTGAAGCATGACCACACTCAAGACATATTCATGTAGTTTGGGCTTCCTCCTGAAAGGAGTGAGCATTCTCATTGTCAATATTACTAGGAAAGATCATTCATTTACTCAACTTATATTCAGGGAGAAGGAGAAGAGATACTGAGGGACAACATCCTCTCTGCCACGAGAGGGAAGTGAGTCAACAAGAATTCACTCCATGGTGGATGAAAAAATTGAAGCACCCAAGAAAATCAAAAGAAAAAAGTCAACTGTGAAAAAAATATGGAATGTGTAGGCCATAGGTCTAATTTCTTTTGTACAACCAGTAACAACTAAACTAACTTGACATAATCACAACACAATATTAAGAAAACAATTCCTGTTTTCACCCTGTCTCCGCAGATAACTTATTAATGGCAGTTATCACCAATTCATGCTAAGTATTATCATTCTGAAAGCCAAATGTTAAAATATGCTCCCCAACAGGAAATTTTTCAAATATCTTAGAACTTTAATGTGGTCCATGAAGCATCAGCAACACCCACAAGCTTGTTAGAAGTGCAGAATCTCAGCCCATGCCCATTCTCCTCAACAATATCCTATCTATATTTTAACAAAATTCCAGGTGTTAAAGTTTCAGAAGCTTTTAAAGTATCATGTTTCTTTGCTGCTTGACAAGTTCTGCTACACAGACAAAATTCTCACCTGTCTTTGGAGTCTTCTGATAGATCCAGGTTTGTTGCTTTGGAATTAATTCTTACATGAAAAACATCACATGTCAGATTACTTTGAATAGCCTACCAAATGTACATTTAAAAAATCAATATATTGGGCCTCCCCGGTGGCGCAGCGGTTGAGCGCTGGGTTGCGAGGCTGCCCGCAGCCTCTGCAGTGCCGGTTCAATCCCCGGCTGCTCCCCGGCCACCGGAGGAGGGTCCCACATGGCGCGCAGACCTCTCCTGCCGCCCGCTGCTCCCCTCAGCAGTGTGCTTCGGTCCTTCTGCCTGCTCTGCTCCCTGCTCTGGCTCTGGTGAATTCTCTCACCCTCTCTCACTTCTGACTGTACCCAGTACTTGTATAAATAATAAATAAATAAATCTTTAAAAAAAATCATGATATTAGGGGCCTCCCTGGTGGCACAGGCAGTTGAGCACAGCGCTGTGAAGCTGTCCGCAGCCTCTGCAGTGCGCGTTCGATCCCCGCCAGCCCCGGAGCAACCCACATGGCGAGCAGACCTCTCCTATCTCGCCCGCGCTGCTCTCTTCAACAGTGTATTTCGTCAATCTGCCTGTTGTGTTCCCCACTCTGTCTCTGGTGAATCCTCTCAACCTCTTGCACATCTGGCCTGTACCCAGGCTCTTGTATAAATAAAATAAAATCTTTTAAAAAAAATCATGATAATAAAATGAGTTCATTTTGCAGAAACAGTGCAGATTTCTTATTTTAGTGTAGTTTTTCTTAAAGTTCCAGTCTACCTACTCTGTAACCAGCACTGCTCTGAACCACTACAGGCAACATCACAGCTACTATACACACTGTTGCTGACCATGGAACTGCAACTGCTTAGCTGAGTTGAAGGACACTACAAAACTATACCACTCATGCTTCATCACCATAGAAATGGTCAAGCCAAACCTTCTTAGGTATAGACATCTAAGGAAGCTACTCAGGAACAGACTGTTGGAATGGACTCCCCTAAAAAGTGCCACTTTTCTCTGTACTTACATACATATTGGGTTCAATAATGAGTCATTCCTCCCAAAATACTTAAAAGTAGTTTGATATGTACTTCCGTCAATTCCACATTGTATTGAGGACTTACAAGATTATTCTGTGTACTATTCTGTCTTCATCTACCCTACATTCAATACTTTTAATAACATTGCTTTTTAAAGTTAAAAACAAAAAGGTAACAAATTCAAGCAAAAATGAACTTTGTTAAAGCAGATGTGTAAGGAAAAATATTGCCTGACTTGGCCTACTTTGGGCACCAGGATTTTAACTCTATATTCAATTTAGGTATATATTATATGACATGGATTCTTAACCTGGACTTCACAGAAACAAAAACTTTAGTAACTACAGAGCACAAACACTTTAATTTAATTAATGGTTTTTAATTGCTGGCTCATAGAAGGGTGATGGACTGGCTCAGAAGAATCCCTTAAGAAATATTTTTAAAATACAGATCCAAAGGACCAATCCTCTGGATTCAGATTTCTTTTTCTAAGGGTCAGGTTCTGAAATGGGTGATTTGTGCCAAATATTATATGGGTAAAAACTAAAAGGTGTTACTAGATACAAAAACCTATTCCCCATCAAATACAAGCTCTAAAAGACTGAGCACTAGGGGGATGCTAGATTTTTATTTTAAATAGTTTATATCCTCCACATAATAGGAATCAATGTCCACATCAGAAATAAATGTTCACATGGATTATATGAGCTTTGACTATTACAATAATTTCTAGTTCTCTCCCAATTTTATCCTTTTCTATTGCAATGACAAGCCATAAAACAAATGAGAAAGCATTAAGAGATATTTCATTCAATCTTGTCCAGAGGTTCTTATAGTCCTTTGATAATGAAAACAGATGATTGCTATTTGTAGAAAACATATGTTCTTTAATCAATACTTTGCTTCAGAATGACCTTCAAATAGTCTAAAGAATTAGGAGAGAAGAAAGAAAGCAGGAGCATTTAGTAAAACCATTGTGCAATTATACAGCTACACCAAGCCAGGCTGAGCTTAGGAGGTATCGTCAGATAACAAAACCAAAGAAAAAAGCTGAACATTTTTTTACCCTCAGTGCTATTTTAATATTATCCCTCCACAGTGCCAGTATTGGTGCTTGATTCATAACTACTTATATCCCCAAAAGACTCCTAGCTGTCCTAAAATCAAAGTTGATGAAGTGTAAGTGTGAGAGTGAAGTTGTGAAGGCCACGTAAGTGTGAGAGTGCAGATTGACCCATACGGCATCACCATGGTGATGGTATTGGAAATTGTTCTTCCAAGAGTGACTTGAAAGCAGAGAGCAGCACAAACATTAACAAAACTCCTCTAGAGACAAATGGAACTGATGGTTGAGAACAGATGAAACTTGTAGGAAAGGACAGGAACTATTTTTCTATGGTCCTCATGAGTAAAAATAAATTAAATAAAATGATAATAGTGATAAGAGATACATAGAAGAGTCTAGGAGGCCTACCTTTGGTAAATGGCTTACAGAAGGTCTCCCAAAGACACATCCATAAAACTTGGTTCAGAAAGACAAGAGGACATCATCTGGTAAGGATAGTTGTGTAAGTATTGGGGGAAAAGTGCTGTCATTTGGATAGGGAAGGGAGATAAGCCTTTAGGTGGGAAGTATTCAGAGAACTAGAAGCATTCAGAGAACTGAAAATGGACCAGCACATCTTGGAAGAAGAGCAAATGAGAGGAAAAGTATCAGATGAAACTGGATAGGCAGACACACGATGTATTGTTCCAAGTTTCTTAGAGAGTTTTCCAAGATTTTGCTTATGTATGTCTCTAAAATAATTATGAAAAACTGCATGCCCATCCACATATTGTTTATTCACATCAAAATTATTTCATTTTAGAAGTCAGTGCCCTGCACTTCAGTGTTTACAGTGCCTTTCCTTCCTTTGGCAGGTCCTACATACAAGCCAGAAGCTGTGACCACTGCCAAGAGGTGTCTCCTTGGATTCAAGGCAGCCAGCGAGGACCCTCTTCCCAAAATAGTTTGACTGAGTGAAACAGAATTCGAAGTTATGGCATGAAATGAGTGAATTCTAAGATGGAAACAACATGAAGCATATGTGCAAGCTTTGGAAGGCAAATACATAGATCTTAACTCTAATGATGTAAGGGAACATGAAAATAAAACTAAAGCAACAACAGCAAGCATCTACATGCAGGGAAGACATCCTTGTAATGCAACTGGCAACCAAGGAGCAAGAGATACCAGAGTGCTCTACTCAAAACCAGTGCCTCAAGCAAATTCAACAGCCCAGTGTTGTCCATCAGAGATCAACAATGATAAACTTGTTTTTCCTGAAAATGAAAGTTGAACTGGAACAGACTGAAAACAACAGGAACAATCCCCAAATGAACTGAGTGCCTGGTAGTTTACACCAGATAAGTAAACAAATCATACTCCCCAGTCAAGACTTTCTTGAGCATCTCCCTATGAGAAAACTATAGTGGGACATCCAAGTACTGTTTTCACACCTAGACTCAGACTTTTTGAGAGAAAAAAGCCACATTCTTATACAGTCCAGTTTGTAATGGTTAATGTAAAACTCACCAGATGAATCTTGTGATGCAGCTTTTCCTCTTCCCATCCCCTTGCTTCAGAGACTTGATGGCATCGGGCTATTCCAAAGAAGTGGCCATCTCCAAAATTTTCACCTTCTAGCACATCTAGGCATTTGAGAAATGTTTCTGTTTGAAGAAAACAAAGGGAGAAACAGAACTTAACTCTTAACTCTGAGGCATATTGTGTCTTCAGACAGTTCGGAGGAACGAAAACCTAGAAATTTAAAATCATGAATTGAACCTGTAAAATTCCAGTAAATGTAAAAATGGAATATACATCATTTTTAATCTTGAGCATAGTATATTAGCTTTGCCAATAAAACTATGGACTTCATGATTGTTGTTGAGCTTTTGGGTCAAAACTCAAGTGAGATGAATTTTGCCTTTAAAGGTTAATATTTGCTAATAACTAACTTCATAGTCATGATAGAATCAAGTAATAGCTATCAGTACACATAATTCATATATTTAACCATTTAGTTGGGGGCTCTATATTACTTGACTTAGCCTTAAACCAATGTGGTTTTAATCAATGGTTTGTTCTTTGAATGGTTGTAATTATTGAAGACGATCTTATTAAGGGCTATGTAAACATGAAGGTATGGAATCAGAGTTGAAGTTTAAACTGTGTGAAGTACTATAAATATTCATTTCACAACCAGCTTGTATAAGGATATTGGCTGTGATGGGACTCACTGCATTATTTTTTTGAGTACTGAAACTTACTATATCCCAATTCCATTCAATAGGCACATATTAAAGGAGAATTGTAGTTTAAATTCATGGAGGAATGTGATTCTTTCTTGTATTTGGCCTTTTACATTGTAGTCTGGATCTTAAATGTGCTTTGAAATAGTGAAAAAAATTCATTTTAAATTTGCAGTTTCAAAGGATTTAACTTCTGGTATACTGTAAATATGGATATCTTAAGATAATGGAATAATAGAGCATAAAATACATATAACTACCAAAGATGTTGATATCCAATACCATCCATTGAAATATATATTATATATATTGATTTTCAACACTTAGAAATTTTACATCATTCTTGTTTCCCCATGAACTCATATTTCCATTCTACCTATCCCACAGAATATCTTTATGTAAAATATTCTACTTGAAAATCTTTTACTGATGCCATTTCATCCTTAAAGGTAAACTACTTCTATCTATGTGAATTATTACAACTATTGTTAATATATACTTTATCAAAAGCAACATAAATATATTATAAAATTTAAACATAAAAATCAAAAAACATTCTTTCATGAGTGGGATAGATGAGGAATTTTCATTTCAATTCAAGTTTTGGTGAATGAATGCTATTTATTGCTATAATAAGACTGGGTTCCGTATCAATTCTAGTGTGTTTTTTGTGAGCTCTGAGAATCTTTGTTCACATATACAAATAGATGAAATTAGAGAAATTTTTGCTATAGAAATGTCATTCAACTCTTTTAACTTCTTCCACTTACATGCCAAAACCACTGGCCTATCTTCACATATTATTTTTGTGATCCATCAGCTGACATCTCAATAGATCTTCCTCAATTTTGTAGAAAGTAAAGAAATGAAAATTATTCTGTTTTTTTCTTTTTTTAATTTAAAATTTATTTTTATATTCCCCATACAATTACAACCCCCTTATTTTGACCCCAATCCCTCCCTTCCTTGCCCCCCACCCCCCACCACCCAAAGAGTGTCTCTGGTTCATAGTTGTTTGTTGATTTTGATATTTTCTTTCTGATAGTTATTCTTTTTCCTGGTCCCTTATTTAAGTTTTCTAGATTCCTGCTATGAGTGAGACCATCCGGTATTTTTCTTTTTCTTTCTGGCTTATTTTGCTGAGCATGATCCCTTCTGGCTCCATCCATGTTACTGCAAATTGCATGAGTTTATTTTTTTGAATGCTGAGTAATATTCCATGGTGTATATGTACCACATCTTCTTGATCCAGTCATCTATTTTTGGGCATTTGGGTTGTTTCCAAAGCTTAGCTATTGTAAATAGTGCTGCTATAAACATAGGGGTGCAGGTGCTCTTTGGAATTGATGTTTCTGTGTCCTTTGGGTAAAAACCTCCACACAGTGGTTGGATTTCCACACCGTGAAAATCTCCATAGTGGTTGGACCAGTTTGCACTCCCACCAACAGTGCAGGAGAGTTCCTTTTCCTCCACAACCTCGCCAACATTTGTTGTTGCTAGTTTTTTTAGTATGTGCCATTCTCACTGGTGTAAGATGGTATCTCATGGTAGTTTTGATTTGCATTTCCCTGATGACAAGTGATGTTGAACATTTTTTCATATGCCTGTTGGCCATTTGCATTTCCTCTTCAGAGAAGTTTCTTTTTAGCTCTTCTGCCCATTTTTTGACTGGATTATTTTCTTTGTTTTTGTTGAGTCTCATCAGCTCTTCGTAGATTTTTGTGATCAGTCCTTCATCACTAGTGTTGTGTGCAAAAAATGTTCTCCCAGTCGGTGGGGTTTCTCTTTGTTTTTGTTATTGTCTCTTTTGCTGTGCAGAAGCTCTTTAATTTAATGTAGTCCCAGCTGTTTATCTTTGCCTTCACTATCACTGCTTTGGGTGATGTGTCTGTAAAGATGTCTTTGATGTGCATATCATGTAGTGTTTTGCCTGTATTTCCTTCTACGTATTTTATGGTTTCAGGTCTTATGTCTAGTTCTTTAATCCATTTTGATTTGGTTTTTGTGAATAGTGCTAGGTAGTAGTCAAGCTTCATTCTTTTGCATGTAGCGAGAAATGGAAATTATTCTGAATTGTGAAGAGATTTGTTACCCATCATTAGAGACAATAATTTCTCAAATTTTGGGAAATATGTCAAAAAAGACTTTGCTAAGATTGATCAACTATTAATTATACCTTTTATTCTTTCCTTTATAGCATCTTCTTTAAGCTAATATACATAGAACAGGTTGGGATAACTAAGATATTATTAATTATATTCAATATTGTTAACATGCTTTCAATAAATTGAGTTAAATCTGCTACTTGGAGAGTTTTCTAATGTATTAACAAAGGTTTACTAAAAATACTCATCATATTACCTAATTAGCAAAGTTATTCTTCATTGTCAAAACAATAATTAATCAGAATACTGCCTCAATTTTTCATTTCAAGTAACCTGCCTTCTGAATTCTAATGAGATAAGTATATATTTAGTAGGACTTAGTAACCGATTGCATAGAGAAGGAAAGAGTAAAAGATCTCAAAGAAGAGTGAATAACTAGAAAACATGAAGAAATAATGAGCATAAGGAGCTGAATTTGTTCCTGGGAGAAAACATTGAATTTCCCCCTAGAATTTGAGGGGATAAACAAGTATAAAAACATTTTTTCTCTTCATTGTTTTTTAATTGTCTCAAATCTAAATTGTCCCTATAATCTGCAACATCAAAAAAAAATAAAAATAAAAACCATATCCCAAACATAATCTAAAGAATTATATATGGTGTTTTTATCATTAATTAGAAATGGAATCAATACAATCTCTAAAGACCATTTTTTCAAATATATACTTATGTAAAATGCTTTTGCTTTACTTATGTAGATATTTACAGGAAATCTTTGGGGCATAAGTTATTGGCTTGAATTTCTGTTTCCCACGGTAAACCAAGCACCAATCTCAAGTATTTTTCTCCTAAGATATTTTTTATAACATAAAAGGAAATTAATTTGACATGTCATCTTTTGAAATGTTAACTTTGCCTTGGATTGTTCATACTAAATTCTGGATGGCATATTCAAGAATGTTTTGAACAAGTGAAAATATAATTTTTCTCTATGTAAAGTCAGTGTATATTTCAAATTTTCTTTCACAATTATGGTATCACATGCAACTGGGAACAAAAGCTACAGGGGACAAAGTGTAATGGATCATGATGACTGTTTTGGAACAGCTTGAACCTCCTTATATCCTACAAGAAGGCTATGTGAGCTGAATTCAGAAGTGCTGAAAATGGCTTTTACTGCAAGCTACACAGTCTCAGGAGCAAATACACATTTTTATAACTTACAACTACAGAAAGCCTCTCAAATAAAAGGATTCATGCCAATGAAAGGATATGTTATCCCCCATGTCCTTCCATTTGGTGTATTTCTTTTAATACAAAGCACACACACACAATCACACAGAGGATGGTTTCTAAACTACTAATATATTTTGTTCCAATTGCTTGCCACTGTTGCAACAAATTACATTTCTCTATCATTTTACTGGTGCTGTGGTTCCTATCTCCTGTGAGTGGAATTATTAGTGCTACAGTAAATCAATTGAATTCAAATGTTTTGAGGCATGAGAGGTCAAAAGAGTTTTTGATTGTCTCATCTTCTAAATGTACCATACTAATGTGTGAAATAATTGTATTAAGCACAGAAAGAAGGAAGAGAGACATGTACCACACTTCCATTTAATTCTAGCTTTTTTTCCCAGCTTCTTTATTTTTTTATTTTATTTTAATTTAATTTTATATATTTTTACATCATTTTTCATTTTTGCATAATATATGCATTTTCATCTTGGTTATAGTTTCCATACAATTCTCACCCCCCCCTTATTTTGACCCTACTCTGTCCTCCCCTCCCTTCCCCTCTCCCCCCTCCCCGTCATGTGTCTCTGGTTTATAGTTGCTTGTTGATTTTGATTTTTACTTTATTATAATTAGTCTTTTTAATATCCTCCAGGTACACTGGCCTTGCCCTGTCTCCTCGGAAGTAACTCACTGAGTACGGAGTCACTTTTGTTCACATTAAATGTTTCAAGATAGGCTCAGCTTCAGCAGGTTCTTAATGAACAGAAGCCTCCCACATCCTGGAAAATCATGTCCCTTCAGTGTGACTGGGATCATATCCTTCAGTTCCCTGCTGAGTAAATGTACTTGGAGAAGACAAACGGCCAAGGAGATCTGACAGTTGGTGAAGCTGTTCTACCACAAAGGTGATCCCCCTTACCTCCTACCTGGGCATCGGGCATGCTCAATGGAATCTTTTGTTAGGACAGAACACCATTGTCCAATGGCTCCTTGTTTGCTTGAGAATTTCTAATTTTTAGGGCCTCCCCGCTGGCACAGCAGGTTGAGTGTAGCACTCTAATTTTCTTTCACTGC